AAAATTATAAGTCACTTTTGTTTTAGCCACCAATTAACCACAAAAATTTAAAAACAACAAAATCGAACACTTTCCCTTTATAAACTGACATTAAAATTGGTAAGCTTTTAGTGGGACAAACGAAAAGGCCTTTGTTTTTTACTAGCTTGCTGGAAATTTTTTATTACTTCTTTTTTCTTTTCATATTTGAGTAAAAGAAAAAAAAACATCAATGATAAATTTCATTTGAAGCTACAAGTCTTTAATGAGGTTAATGTTACATAATGTAATTGGCAGAGAGAGAGAAAGAGATTGACATGACAAAGAAAAAAAATGAATGGAGCACTGGGTAAATTATAGGAGATATCTGATATAGTTACTTTGATAATAGATGAAAACGTGTCAAGACTGAATTTGGATGTGTTCACTCATAAAATATACACATGAAGAAGGTAATAAGCAATCAACACTTAAAGAATAAAACGCTACAAATACTGATTTAATTTTAAAGCTTCTATTCTGAAAAAGACGTTGAAATTAAAATAAATTAATGTATGGAAAAGAAGCACAAAATAAGTAAAATAAGAAATTTCAAACAAACAGCAAAGATAAGTAGCACTTCTTAGCACATGTCTTTGGTTAATGAAAAAAAAAATTAAGGTTAAATCAGCATTAGTATATAATTTGTGTATGGAAAAATGTGACCAACTTAAAGGCATGAAATGGGCATCTATAAAAAATTTTTTCCCACATTATTCATCTATTGAAAACAGACATTGAGCGACAAGTCTATATAGCATCTTCTATGCCTGAATTCAATTTGGACGAAATAGTTAGAAAAACCGTTCCCACTGTTTTTTTTTTGTTTAAAAAAAAAAAAAATCAAACTAAATAAATCTTCCTTCATACGTGTGTTATAATGAAAATTACAACAGGTGAAGAAGAGATAACAGTTCTACTAGAAATGCTACTGGATTGGTAGAAATTATAACAAAGTAAAGGTCTTTCAAAAATTTTCAATAGACGGTCACAAAATGAGGGACTAGTCTGAATATCATGCTACTTTGTATATGGATCCCCCACTTTGAAATTGCCATGTGTAAAGCAAAAATGAGGACAAGCTAAAATAAACATCTCCACTACTAGGCTATTTGACTGCATCAAATTCAATGCGATGCAGAAGCTAGAAATAAACTATGATGAAGCAACAACATGACATCAAAGTCAGCACTCACTGTCGTCTGTCACTACTACTGCCACATCACATTTATTATAAATATTTAACAATAACTACTACAACTACTAAGCATTTTGGTTAAATTTTCGATGGTGTTGTGTTGACTATCTGTTGCCTAAATGATCAACTACTTTCTTTATTAAATTATAACTGAGACAATATGGAAGGAAAAAAAAGTGTGACTGGAAGTGCAAATGAATACACATTGTCATTACAACAGTTTCACTTCTTTTCGATATTTGGGTTGGGTTGTGACAAAATTAGTTTTTGTTAAAAAATCATAATAAAATGCAAGAACAACATCTTTTCAGTAAATAATAAATAAAACGATAATGGGCATTGGAGGAAAAAAAAGTTGGTTGCTGCTAATATAGAAAACATCAACTAAGTCTAAAAATTATTTTCGATCAGAACAAATATCAAAGTCCGTTGCAAAAATAGAAGTATGACAAATAAAGAAAAATACAGCTAAAAACAAAGCACGGTCAACAAGTGGATAGTTTATTTTGTTTATTGTTTCATTTTTAGTATTTTAAAAAAGACGGTATTTAATGAGAAAATTACAATGTTATCGATCTTATTGACATTTCAAAGTTGTAAGAAATCATTAAAATCATCGAAATATTTTTTTCCTGAAATGCATATGAAATGAAGGTCAGGTTTTTGTTACAGCGGATACCAAATTCAGCTCAATTATACAATACTTTCAATCTTTGAAATAATTTTTCCACTTTTTATTGATAAATTTGACTAAATTGACATTCTTTAACTTAAAATAAACACCAAAATCCTTCCTTTAGCTCTTTACTCTGAGATATAAATATTTTTCCAGACGATCAATGACGACTGAACAAAAAGAATGCAACAAACACTTTTCTAATGTAAGCAGCCAAAATTTCCATTACTTTCAAGTTCCATTTTATGGACAACCAAACATTGATCTTCTAAAAATGGATTTCAATTTATTTTCTAATTTAAATATTCTTTGTTCAAACGCAGCAAAAGAACTAAAAAGGCAACATAAAAAAGAAAATCCAAACATCCAAATTTTATTTAAGCAAGTCCGAAGAATTTCCATCCTGTCGATATACACAAAGAGAAATCTCACTAAACAATACTGAAAAGTGAAAAGGTAATGATTTATAAAATTCAAGACAGTATAATAATCGTATCGAACCAAAAATATCATTAAAAACAAAAAATAAAACGCAGCAAATCGTTAACAAAAAGTCGATTTACACAAAGGAAAAGCTAACAAAAGAGGAAAATCATTAAAAAATTATTTAATTTCCTCAAGTTTTAACCTTACATATTAAAACAACTGAATGGTAATTATAATTTAAAGTGAAATTTTAAAAAATCTAATAGATAAAAAATTAATTCAAATAGATCGAATGGCTTAGTTTTAATGATCACGCCATGTAATGACGAAGCCTAAGTAGTAAAACAGAAATCATTTTTGTGTGCCAATGGACATCCGTATCACAAAATGGGTCACTCATGCTTAAAACACAACAAAACCAGGTGTGTCTCACTCCATGAATACCTTTAGTTTTTTTGGTAACTTTTTAAAAAACTAAGTAATAAAAATACTGAATATAAGAATTTTATTTACCACTAGAAGTCTTAAAAATTAGTTAATGGGTTGAAAACTTAAAAATAAAATGCATTCTCAAATAATTTGAAGCTGCTTGCTAGCTTTGGTTTGCATTGAAATACAAACAAAACGGGCCTGAAACACAATTATCAGGTATTGGTATGTTTTTTGTTTTTAAAAGGTAATTTTTTTAAAATTCATTATACCATGTTACTAACTGTTGATTAGCATTTATCATTAAACAAAATAAAACTAGCTTTTCATAAAGCTTGAAAAAATGTAATTTAACCTGATCAGAAAACATTTCTTCATTTATCAAATTCAAATCAAAACAATAAAAATTGCTCTCTCAGCGAACAATAACATTTTTAAAAAAATGTTGACAATAGATTTGTCATTGCATTTAGTTTTTTAAACTTAGAATAATAAAATGAATTATTTTAAATTTGTAAGAAATATGGCCAGAAAATCAATACGAGAAAACTAAAAGTTATTTTTTTTTAAAAAATATTCTTATGATGATGAATAGGATTATCATCCAGAACAAATAATTTGTAGCTGGCGTTTTAATAATGAAGATTCAAAAAAATTATCAGAGAATAAATGTGTTTTCCAACAGAATTATAAAAATCTATTGTACACTTGATCCAAAAATATAAAATTAATAAATAAAGAAAAATATTTTAGAAAAACTAAATGAATATTAATAAGAAATAATAAGTCTTCTTATAAGATGATCAACTTCATAGTTTGAATGTAATTAATATAAAATATTTTCAGGATTTTGCTGAAGTAAAAGTAGGATCCAAATAAATGAAAGAATGAAGAACATTTTTTTTTAGAAAAAACGTTTTTTGTGTAATAAGAATAAATTCAAAATTATGTTTGTTGTATTGTACTTACTACTACTGACTACAACAACAATAGTTTGTTTTTTAATTATGAGGTTAAATTTTTGGTATGGATGGAGGGTAAAATAAAATATTTAAGTTTAAGTAGCTTCAAAATAAAAACATCAATAGAATTTTAAATACAAAAAAGAATGAAATACTTGATGCGTAAATGTTTAAGTTTATTCTTCTTAAAATAATTTTATTTAATGAAGATAGATTTTTTTTTATTTTTTAACGTTTAAGTAGTATTAGACTTAAAACAAAACAAAACTGTCTTCTCACTTTTTATTTAGGTATTTTAAAAATTATTTTTGTCAACTGATGATTGAAAATGAAAGAAAATTAAAATCAAAGTTATAAATAAAAAGTATATAACTGGAACTGTTTTTTTTTTGGTTGATACTGAGAGGAAAAGACTTTCACGATACAATCATCCTCATTTTAATTTTAAAAACCATAGATAGAAAAAAAAATTAATAGTTATTTCTAAGATAAACTTTATCTGCAACAAGTAAAAAGAAATAAAAACTATAACTTGTAGAAATGAAAATTAAAATACCAACCCTTATTTTTATTTAATCCATTCAAAATTCATAATTAAATCAATGAGAGTAAGTTATTTCTAATTAAACTATAAAAAAATAAAATAATGAATATGAAAAAAAGTTCAAACTAAACGGAGAAATTACTTGTACATTGAAATTGGTATATAGATGAATAAGAACAAATTATTAGCAAAAACAACTGAAAAATAAATGAATCTCTTTCAGTTGTTTTATGCTGTTGTTGACCTTAAAATTCTAGTGAAACTGTGGTTTTATAATACAAATATTATAATAGAAAGAATTTAACTTTTAAATTGGATAAACATACTATTTGTTATGACTTTTTCTTAATAGCAATTAATCCAAACTTTAAATGCAGATGTTTGTGTTTTAAAATCAATAAAAATAATCCAGTCAACTTCACCAGAGTAGTGGAGAGAAAGAGATCAATTTTAGTTTTTAGACTTGTTGTGACTTTTTTCCGTAAACATTTTTGGCGAGTTACCATATTAATCGCATTCAAATAAGAAAAACACTTCTATAAACAAATAAATATAAAAGTCTTCAATTTTATTATTCATTAATATTTGTACATCAACATTCTTCTATATCACACTCCAGTTGGAGCTCGAACCATGGAGGAAACGAAGTGAATTGGGCGACTTATTTATCTTTCTTTCTTAAGCAAACCTTCAAGTAGCTTTCACTACATTATGATGATTCGCCATAAATAAATCTATTTTACTTACCCACATCGGGATCAAACGACCCGGCGCTGCTAAATAACGGCATATTGAAGCCTGTGTATGCACGATGTATGTGTGTACAATGCAACAAACAGTAAAGACGACAACAACAACACTCTCTCCGCCTTTCAATCACCTCCTGTCACTCCGTCTACAATTTCTGCTCCCACTGCTTCTCTCCTGGCTACACTATCTCTGCGCATGTCAAATAGCATGACGTCACTAATGTCTACTTCCGCAAGGACTGGCCGCCACGTGAGCCTGACGAGGGCTTAATAATTTTGTCACTTCCGGTCTCTGTTAACCTCTCGAAACGCAATTTTGGGTTATATATATATATCGTGAAATAAGAACAAATATGTTGAATGAAATCAAATGACATGTGTGAGCAACAGCGTACATTTCATTCCAAACGTAAGAAGAGTAATAAAACAAAAACTCGCTCTATATTTTTAAGTAAACTAATTTCACACAAACTCCTTTCCTTTAAACAATCAGCCGAGTTTTGCTGACTTAATTCTCAAATTAATTTAATTGACTGGAATACCAACAACACAATTTTGAAATTGTTTCAGCAGAGTGATGTATTTGTTGATTAGCTTCACTAAATTAAAGGGAGAAAATTATTTAAAATAAAAGTAAATAGTATTTATTTTAAATGGACATTCAAATAGATTTCCAAACAATGAAACTCATTCTAAATTTTTTTTTTTCAAAAAATTATATTTGAATGATAATGATTCTTTTAAAAATTATAGACAGTATTAGTGAAATATTTTGAAAATGCATAAGAATCACGATATACAAGTCATTGGATACCTGGATATAGGGTAATGATCAGAAAGCTTGTTTTGCTAGAGACTGAGTACTCAGTAATTTCAGTCTTGTACCACATCTAAGCTATGCTTAGTAAATCACTATATACAACTCAAGTAGGTTAGTTTGTTCACAAGAACAAAGTTTACATATTACATACTAAATAAAAAGTAACCTTAGAACTGAGTGTATGTCCTTTTCTTGACAACATTTTTCAACGACTACAAAACTGCCCTTGTCAGGACAACGCTCTTCTCACCCTCTACATGAACATGCAGAGATATTTTTTGTCTTGTGCACTGTAACCTTATTTTTTTGTCAATATATTTTCTCTAACAAAAATAAACTTGGCAATATATATTTTTTTTACTCAAGTCTTCGCATATTTTGTTGTCCTCTGTCATTCAATATCTGTGGACCAATATACCCCCGCTTGCAATAAGTACTTTAACAGCTATGACTTAATAAAAAAGACAATAGACTAAATTGGCGAAAACCAATGAAAAATATAGTATTGCTAAATAAAAAAAAATTATTGAGTAAGAGATTTGAATTTTGTACATAGTAAATAACAAAATCCTCAGATAAAAAGTAACAAAAATTCATTATTTTTTATCTAAATTCAGAAAAATGTATTACTCTTGTATTTTTTGTCTAATGAAAAGGGTATTTTTCACCATTGTAAATTTGAAGTTAAGGTCTGTTGAGCCACTCCTGAGAGTATTTAAGAACCTAGGTCAGCTGATAGCATCAGAAGATGGGTTGGACGGCAGAACAGACAAACCTGCTGGCTGCAGCAGAAGGTATGATGAAAGTGACTTGATCAACAGATCTGAAGCAGGCAAAGCTGACTGCAGAAAGGTTTTTAGGTTTCCTTGGTCAACAGATCTGAAGCAGGTAAAGCTGACTGCAGAAAGGTTTTTAGGTTTCCTTCGTTGACAGATCTGAAGCAGGCAAAGCTGACTGCAGAAAGGTTTTTAGGTTTCCTTTGTTGACAGATCTGAAGCAAGCAAAGCTGATTGCAGAAAGGTTTTTAGGTTTCCTTCGTTGACAGATCTGAAGTAGACGAAGCAGTTTTTAGGATTCCACTTGTGAAAGTCATCAGCAAAGCAAAAGGAAAAAAGGTTTTGGCATTCTTAAGAACTAAGCTGACAAAAGATAATTCACAATAATGTAAAAATTTCTGGAGACTCCCATGGGAAAAGAAAAACAGAAAGAAATCTGAATGACATTGCAAAAAGATTGTTAAATGGCTCCAGTTAACCATTTGTAAAATAAAACAAAAAGACATTGAAAAAATATTGTTAAAACATCCCTGAGAATCTTGAGGGAAATTACATGTAGGTTTTCTCATTTTTCTATTAGGTAGGTATGCCTCTTTTTTCTATGAGTAATTTCTTCTTAATTCCAACAGTTTTTGCATTACCTTCTTGGAGTTTTTTTTCTTTTGTGATTTGAAAAAGTTTGTATTGTGATTTTAGATTCAATTGTTTCTATAATTTTGTTGTGTTAACTTGCCTTGTCCTTAATAAGGTGCATGAAAAGAAATTTTTGTCAAGCCTTTTTTTTTGTAAAATTTGTACTTTGTTATATTGTTTTGTGTCTGAATAATGAATACTTGTACCTTTCAAATTTCACAAGGTAGTTCTTGAGTCTTGTTTGTTATCGTATGCACCTTTTTTAATATTTGGGATAAGGGAGGTGACATTCTCTTTTCTCCCATTCCTTCCCAGGAAAAACATTCTTACATTTTGCATAAAAATATTAGTTATTGTAAACCAAATTTTTTTTTTATAATTCCAGTTAAATATTTATAAATTTTAGATTAGTTTTATACAAAGCTATAAGTATGGGCCACCTAGTGAGGCTAAAAAAACATTACATTAGCACTTTCCCTGTGAGATGAGCTTACTACTTTCAGCAAGATTCACAGTAGAATTCTTTAAAAGCCTTTCACTATTTTTTCACTTGGATATATCAAAAATATTATGAATATAAAATTTGTTTCTTTTTTTTAACAAATATTTCATATAATATTTTTCATATAAGTCACATAAGTTTTAAATGTTCTCCATTTATTTATTTTCTAATACTACATTTTAAATAGATAATATTTAAACTTTGTATTTATTGGGCAACGTTATGTTATTAACATCTGATAAAAAATATTTCATATTTCAAATTAACATCAGTTGTGGAATTTATCTGATTTCAGGAACTTTCTTTGGATCTTCTCAATATAATGTATGAGCAACTCTCCTCTCCCCTTCATGTATTGGACTTTTATATAATTTCCTGTCATTCAAATATCTTGTTTATGCCTATACTAAGTTTAGCTGGGTGTGTAATAATAAAAAAAATTTCACTAAATTTTCCCCATAGATATATATTCAGAATCAGTAGGCTACGAAGTCATATTTCAACCAACCAATTAAAAACTGTCCTGACCAAGATACAAACACCATTGTCTAATGAATGAGGGTCAGAAACTAGATATGTCTCAAACCAGAATATAAATTCACTGATTATGAACCCATCAGAAGCCAATTGGCAGTTTTGAAGCAGATCTCTTTGCCTTGATAAATATATATGTAACAAGATGGAAAGTTAGCCTAATCAGAATTGATGAATTAATTTTATCAATTCTCTGATGTTGCAGTCATTGTAACATGCCCAGAGCTGAAATATAACCCTTATGTGTGATCCACATAGTCTCACATAAACTTGACATTGGGAAGTTATAGATAAAAGACAAAACAATGACTATAGACACAATGAAAGTGTTTACATGTTTTTTATTACTTAATCTTTATTTTAAATATAATTAAAAATTGATATGAATTCAACAAAAAATTAAATATAGTTGTAAATACTGAATTGAGATACTGTTTTTATTCCATGACTTATTCCGACCAATATCATCATCTTTATTGTCTGAACATAACATTTTAAAGAAGAATCTGCAATATCATTGGTCCTGACCTAGCATCTAGGTTTCAGTCACTTTCCCACTGTCATAATGTAGCTACCCTCTGCCTTTTCTACAAATATTTTCATCGCAACTGTTCTGAACTTTTGTACCTTTATTTCATGAATTTAAGCATAGTACTAGATTGGCAGCTACATCTTATCATTTTACTATTTGTTATATTCTGTGCTAATAGGAATATATACTTGAAAAAACAAGGTGGATAAAATAAGTAAAGGTTTATTGTAAAAAAACAGTACAATAAGAATAAAGGTAACAGTTATGCACTAGGTTGTCACAAGTCAATCCAGTAGTGAGTGTACTATTGGAAGGTTGGTATTTCTTATGTAAGTTATACTCAACAGATCCCAGTTAATCAATATTTACTAGCCTCCGCACAAGGGTAGATGTGGCTCAAGGCCAAGTTTAATGTGGGTCATCCTATCCCATATGCTCGACCAAAACTTACCCGCAGAAACTGCATAAACAGGTTCAGGTCTGTCTACCTCCCCAGATGAGACTCTGCTCTTTGGCATAGCCTCATCCGGGTTCCTCTCTGCCTTTGGGCAGAGTGTTCAACAGCACAGCTGGAACAGATTCCAGCTAGTCAATATTTACTAGTACCCAACCCCCCAAGGGTAGATGTAGCACAACGCAGAGTTTAATGTGGGTCATCCGAGCCCATAGGCTTGGCCAAAAATTCCCCGTAAAACCCGCATAAACAGGCTTGGGTCTGTCTACCTCCCTGGATGAGACTCTGCCCTTTGGCATGTCCTCATCTGGGTTCCTATCTATCTGAAGGTAGAGTGTTTGACAGCATAGCTGGAACAGATTCCTGCTAGTATATTTACTAACTGCCCTGTGTGATCAGATGTGGCACAGGGCCGAAATTAATGTGGGGTATCCAAGCCCATAGGCTCAGCCAAAAATTCCCTGTAGAACCCGTATAAAACGGGGTCAGGTAGTTGTTTCCCAACATGAGACTCTGCCCTTTAACATAGCCTTGACTGGGGATCCTCTCTATCTAGAGGCAGAGAGTTTGACCAGCACAACTGGAACAGATTCCAGCTTGTCTCTGTAGTCTGTTGACTTACAGATACTTATAGGTAGTTACTACCTATAGTGTAGTCACTCATGGAGGTGACAGGTTATTCCATTACATCACTATTGAAATTGCTAAATATAATCATAAGTTCTGTTCTAATAGTTTCTTTTCTTGCATTTCTCACCTATGGAACTCACTTCCAGATTTTTTCTTTCCT